GATTTATCCAAGTGTGCCAAGGGATCTTGTGGAAGAGCTCACACCACTGCTCTCCATCATTTACCATCAGTCCTGGCTACCCAGAAAGGTCGACTGGAGGTTGGCCAATGTGACATCCATCCACAAGAAGGGCCAGAAGAAGGATCTGGGGATCTGCAGGCCTGTTAGCCTGACCTTGCTGTCCAGGAAGGTTCTGGAACAGGTTTTCTTGAGTTTGATCACATGGCACTTAAGCCAAGGGGTCAAGCCCAGCCAGCCTGGTTTAGGAAACTGGTGGCATGCATGAGGGGCAAGACTGTGGATGGTGTCTACCTGGACTTTAGTAAAGCCTTTGACTGTTTCCCACAGCATTCTTCTGGAGAAACTGGCTGCCCATGGGTTGGACAGGTGCACCTTTGCTGGGTTAAAAACTGCCTGGTTGGCCAGACTAGAGGGTGGTGGTGAATGGTGTTGTATCCAGTTGGTGTTCACTCACAAGTGCTCAGGGCTCGGTGTTGGGGCCAGTTCTGTTTAATATCTTTATTCATGATCTGGATGAGGGCATCGAGTGCACCCTCAGTAAGGTCACAGATGACGCTAAGTTGAATGGGATGGAGGTCTGGTGGAGGGTGGGAAGGCTCTGCAGAGAGATCTGGACAGAATGGATCAATGTACTGACGCCAGTGCTATGAGGTTCAACAAGGTCGAGTGCCAGGGCTTGCACTTCAATCATCGCAGCCCCGTGCAGCGCTGTAGGCTTGGGGAAAAGTGGCTGGAAAGCTGGGAAAGGACGTGTGGATGCAACTGATCATCAGGCAGTGTGTGCACAGGTGGCTAGGAAGGCCAATGACATCCTGGCCTGTATCAGCAGCAGTGTGGCCAGCAGGGCCAGGGCAGTATTGTCCCCCTGTACCCAGCTCTGGTGAGGTCACACCTCGAGTGCTGGGCCCCTCACTAGAAGAAGGGCATTGAGGTGCTGGAGTGTGTCCAGAGAAAGACTTGTCCTCAAGTGCTATGGGGAGCAGCTGAGGGAGCTGGGAGTGTTTAGCCTGGAGAAAAGGAGGCTCAGGGGCTTAGGAGACCCTGCCATTCTCTACAACTGCCTGGAAGGAGGCTGTATCCAGGTGGGCATCAGCCTCTTCTCCCAGGCAACTGATGACAGGACAAGAGAACGTAGCCTCAAGCTATGCCAGGGAAGGTTTATTTTTGATATCATGAAAAATTCTATCATGGAAAAGGTTTTTAAACATTGGAATGAGCTTCCCAGGGAGGCAGTGGAGTCACCATCCCTGGAGGATGGTTCAGGAAAAGACTGGACGTGACACTTAGTGCCATACTCTAGTTCATAAGGTGGTGATTGGTCAAAGGTTGGACTTGGTTAACTTAGAGGTCTTTCTAAATCTAAATGTTTTGTGATGTTTTGATGACTGCCTTATGCTAAGGGTTGAATTGATAAATACAGATTTTGGACTGTCTCGTATTTCAGATGGATCAACCACAGGTGAAGAAGTCATTCCTAGTAGTCCCTACATCTACTTAAAAAAAACAAACAAAAAAAACAAAACAAAAAAAAAACCTAGTGGTTTGTGACTTTTTTTAAGCATTCTGGAATTAATTTTTCCTTTCAATTGTGATTTCTAAGGGCAGATGTGCACTGAGTTGCTACTATATAGCTCAGCTATAAATAGTAATAGTAATAATTTTAAAAAAAAGAGTATTTTGAGTAGACAACTTGCATATTGCTGAAAGAAGTGCTTGAAGTGTAAGCTTAGGTCTGAAGCTTGTTTGAAAAAATACCTTTAGGAAATGTTGCTGTTTCTCATAAATGAAAGTGGATTTAGTCGTATGTGATATTAAATTAAGGTCATACTGTGATTTCCTTGTGTATTACCTGCACTTCTAGCAGTTATGAAAATGAGCACTAATACTAGGATATGAGCATGTTCTCTTTTTCTTCTCTCAGGCACAGCTGTTGTCTCTTCTTTTCACAAAACATATGCAGTGAAGGCACTGAAATGCTCGTGTTTTCCAGGGTTAATTTCCAAATGGCAGTGTGGAACATGGAAGCAATATTCAATGGTACAGTTTAGAAGCTATTAATTTATCCAATTTGTTAATATTTTGAATCAGGAATGAAGCATGAATAGTAGAATGAGCTGCTTGGAATTGAAGGAGCAGGGATGGGTCTTTGATTAGAAAACTGCTCAGAGCAGAGTATTTCCTCTAGAGCTACCCAAGGTCTTTGGCAGAGAGTTTTTCCTGTCTACAAAATTAAAATGCTTTGCTCATCTTGTCATTATTCATTATAATTTTTGCCTGTTCTGGAAACGACGATGTAGTAGATGATCACTGCTTAGTACAGCGAGCTCTCTTGCCTAAAGCACACATGCACAAGTGCAGCGGATTTGGGCAAACTGCATTCCCTGGGCTGCTGCCTCTTTTGTGTGGTTGAGAAATGCTTCACATGTACTGAAGCAGGCGTGTATTATCCTTCTACAGTCAGCCTTTGTGACGTGCTTTTCAATTCAGCACACCCCGCAAAACTGGGAGGCTTTGCATTGCTTTAGAAAAGAAGATTAATGCTGGTTAGGAGGATGATATTAATTTGAGATGAGAAGAATAATTTTAGCTACTAGGTGAAAAAGTGAAGATGACATAACCCTTGAGTAAAGGAACTAAATAAGACTAGCTGCAAAGACTGTTGTTTTTTGGTTTTTTTTAAAATTACAGTGAGCACTATAGAGGAGGCCAAACTATTTTCACATCTGCATTTGAGTTTTCCACTAATTTGTTGAAGAGAGATTTGCTCTGAATATTTAAAACTTATGTAATCTTACTCCCAGTGCTGCATATTTACTGATTCCTGGAAAATGTGGAAGAATTTTTTTGTTTAAGGAAACATTGAAATATTCTTAATAATGAAATTTTTACTGACTAGTTGTAACAGTACTTCCAGAAATATTAGCATCAGAAGTGCTTGCAGAAAGCATCTGAGGAATAGAATTTGAAGGAAGAAGTAACTTGAGCAGTCTATGGACTTATGTTTTTCTGGGTCATATTCCTCTTATTTTGAAGCAAGGTAGCTGTAGAGGCTTAATTCCAAATAAACTCCGGGTTTACAAACAAGGTTTGCATTTAATTATGGAAAATGTTGTTCAAGGGAGGGGCTAGGAAGCTCTTTTATTAGAAAACTACCGATGTCATTGATGATAAACAAGTTTTAAAATTCAATTCCTGTAAGCATTTGAATTTCACATTTGAAAATCGTTTTTGTCTACTTGTGCAAATAATTATTAATTCAAGTGAATGCAGATGCATGAGCAAAACCAAAGGCAGTCAGGTCTGAAACCTATGTTATTTCTTGTGGGTTTTTTCAGTCTGGCAATTTCTGTAGTCAATCCATAGTTAATGTAAAAGCAATGACTTTACATTAAAAGTATTCTGAGTTTGTGTAGGAAGGTACCGTTTATGGGGAAAACACTCCCCCCTCCACTCTTAGTTTTGTTTTTTTAAGCTATAAACTGTGACTGGAATACAGACAACTTCTTTGTAAAAAAACTTACTGATAAAAATGTAAAATAAAAGCAAACAACCAGGTGAGGCTCGCTGACTCTTTAAGTCCTTCCATGGCAGAACAAAATTAAATTACTAATTCTGTTTGGGGAAGAAAGCTGGTATTAAGTTTGGTGGATTACTCAACATCTGTCTAGTGTGTATCTCACCACTTAGCTGGATGTTATGCAGATTTATTTGTCTAGAAGAATGTGATTCAAGTTGAAAAGCTGAAATATAGCAATGTGGTGAAGCAGACTTCTCCCTGCTGTTGTACTTTTTTACTTTACCAGCTTAGAGGCTGAGCAGGAGATGTGTTTGAGTTTTTATTTGCATGCAGCCTAATAGTCTTTTCAGCCTTTCAACTGTCTCTAGTGTGAATGCACATGTTTTTTAAGAATGCAAGTATTATCCACTTAGGTTTTGTTCAGCAATTTCTCAGTAAATGGAAAGCTGCAGAATGGGTGAGAATTGTACAGTTTTATTAATTTTTAGCATATACTGAGAGAAAGAATTGTGCATCTATTCCCTGTTTTGCATAAAGCTTTGGAATAATTTCTTCTGAAAGCTAAGGTGCTTCTTTAAAACAAGAAGTGTTCAGCACTGACAAATTATAGTCCAGAAACCCTGGGCATACAATGATGGTGAAATTCTGATCAGTTTGCTTAATTCCTCTCTTATTTCTGCTCGATCTCCTGGATATTGGAAAACTTAATTTTGCATCAGAAGCAGGTGCATAACCACATTTAAAATACAGAATGTTTGCAACTAAGGAATGAGTTCAATGTGGAGAAGTGAAAGAATCTGTTTTGCTGCAGATTCCAGCAATATTTGTTATGGAAGGATAGGACTGATTTATGTGTGAGAGTGAAAATGAGCAAGCTTTTGCTATCTCATAGCTGGTGTGAATCCAGGAAGTCTTGATACAGAGATCCTGAAAATTTACATTATACATAATTTCCCATTGACTCCTCCATATTTTGACTACTGATCTTCTCATCTCTGTCACAGCAGATTTTTTTTTAATGTGCCTTGCATTTTTCAGGTCTTTTCATCCTTAAGTAATGTATAAATGGATAGAAAGATCCTTTGGCATTTGAAAAATTTGAAATTTGAAAAACTTCTTTAATTCTAGTCCTGATATTTAACATTGTTAAAATAACTGCTTCATCATTCTTCAGTTTCTTCGTGATGAAGAATCCCTTAAATCTCTGTAAGTTAAGCAGTTATACATAATTTTTTTATATTTCAAGGTAGACCTTTTGATTTCTTTGTGTCACTTTGTGGCGTTTGTAAATTACTGTTTTGGTAACTATTCAACTCTGTGTGGTTAGATATGCTGAGTGCACTAGCTAGAAGCTGGATGTTAGCCTGTGTGTACGTGGTATTAGTGAAAGTGAAAATGTTGGTTATGCTGTGTGTTTTGTTTGTTATATGCAACAATTATTCCTTAATGGTACTAATTCCAGCTTTGGTCGGCCAGGAGTTGAATGCTACTGTCAACATGACAGTGGAGCTGCAGTAATCCAACTTCAGTTCCTGATTAATGAGGTTAGTAAAATGATTTATGTGTAATTCAGAGAAGATATGGAGCACATTTTCATTAATTTTTCATTAGGCAAGCATTAAAATTAGCTGATAAAAGTGATGTAGCACAAATAGCAAACTGTAATAACAATTATAAATAAAGTAAGTTTTTAGTTTTGGAAAATGCTTGACTAACTCCTGAAAATATCTTTGTCACTAGAGTACTTTTTTGCTATAAGCAAGAACTAGGAATATCTTTTCATGTCCTTGAACATTGCAAGTTATCTCTGGAAGTGGTGAAGTACTTTTTTTCAATAGTACTACCAGTTTCAGTAGGTAGTTAATTTTATTTTGATCGAGTTACTGTCTTAGATATGAACCGCATAATGTTGCCTCAGTTTCAGATGCATGTTTCTATGGATGTAGCAGCTGAGATCTGACAGCAGCGCTGTTCTTGAGCTAGGGACAGGTTTTCAGAGGGATCTGGCTAGCTTTGTCAGCACACAAATATTAGCAGTTCATTGCCTGATTTCTCTGCAGAGATGGGCATGAGGAAACTGATGAGCACACACTGGAAAAAACTTCTTCCCCATCACCTCTCAGTATCGCACTGAACCAAATATGAGTGAGCTGAACACGTGATCACATCACTTATCTCATTCCTACTACTTAGAACTTAGCTGTGCTATGGTGCCGATGCACATGCTTATATAATTTTTTCATCCTGATAATTGATATGTAATGCATTTCCACTGTGATGCTACACTGTTCCTAGGGCTGTGAAAACAAGTTGACTAAAATGTTTTTGTTCTCCTAGGGAGCTCTTGTGAGTGCCTTGGCTGATGACACCTTGCACCTGTGGAACTTGCGCCAGAAGAGGCCGGCTATACTTCATTCGCTCAAATTTAACCGGGAACGGTAGGGACTGCTCATTGTTGCAGGGCCCCTTAGCATCACACTACCTGCTACCGTAAAACCAGATCTTACTGATGCAGTCCAAGTCATAACTTGGTACATAATTGAACTGGGCTTACACTGGGTTTGAGTTTCAATCTGTTAGGCCACAAAGTAGTTGTGAATAAGACACACTGGCGACCTAAACTGAGATGCCTTTTCTATCACTTTGTGTTGCACTGCTGAACATCAATTTTCATATCTTTAAAATGTGGAGGGACAGAATAATTTGAATATGTCTTCAGAGGAATTTTAGAACAAGAGAAAGTGTGTGCACCAACAAGGCAACCAGGAAAACTGGTTCAATTTTTTACCTGGAGTTTTTTCTCCCTTGATGGTAAGGCAAAATTCTGCCATGTTAGAGCTCTTGTTTGTATCAGAGTAGCTGAATACCACTTGTATTTTGAGTAAAAATTTTTATACTCAAGTAATAGAATTGTAAGCAAGCTAGAGAGACATTTAAGATTAAATTTCTAAAAGTCAGTTGACTAAATTTCTGAAAAGCATGTCCTTTGTTTTAAAAGCAAGTATTTCTTCCCTTTTAGGAGGTATTCCTTCTTTTCTAGTATGTGTAAAGTCTCAGCTGGAATGCTGTGTTTGCTTTTCAACAGTATGCATTAGACATGGACTGCTTGGGGAGCTCAGAGGATACTAGCAAGAACACAGAATAATCTGACACTTGTATTTCTTTTGAGTAGGACAGGAGGTAATAATTTTAAGTAATAGATAGCAATAGAAAAAGTTAAATACTTATGTAATACCTTCTAATGTAGTGTCATGCCAAGTTCTAAACAAACTGTTGGGTGGGTGAAATGGTAATCTTGTTGTTTTAAAGAGCAGGTTATGAACAATTTTGTCAGGAACAACATAAATGCAGATTACTGAAGTTTCTTTAGTAGAGGATTAAGTGATTCCAAGTCCCTTTTGAAATTGTTTCTATGATCACTATGCATAAAATCTGACCAGGGCCTGTAGGAATCGGACAAGGGGTAATGACTTTAAAGTGAAAGAGGGTAGATTGAGATTGGATACTGAAAGAAATTCTTCGCTGTGAGTGTGGTAAGACACTGTAAGTGTCTTACCAGAAAAGTAGTGTGTGCCTCATCCCTGGAAGTGTTCTAGAAGAGGTTGGATGGGGCTTTGCTCAACTATCTATTGAAAGATGTCCCTGCCCACAGATGAGTTGGACTAGGTGACCTTTAGTGACCCCTTCAGGCCCAGACAATTCTGTGCTTCTGAACTGTTATGCAGAAAACAGGAAGCTTTGTTGACTGAGGCAAATTCTTGGCCCCAAAGGAGTGGCAGTGTTCCTTTATGCAGCATAGAAGTCAAATGGAGGAAAATGCAATTTATAACAACTAATTTAATGAGGATTGTCCAAGTGTAAGAGATACAGTAGTGTGTCCAAACTGAATTTTCTACTTCTCCCTTCCCTTTTTAGTGACTTTTCTCTTACTTGTAGTGTCTACTTAAGTGTCAGTGTAAAAGTGGGATTTGTAGCCTGAAACCACACTTAAACATGGGCTTCTAACAGGTATCTGATTCTGATTGTGTGTAAATCTATTGTAGGCTGGGTTAGAGTTTTAGATGTGTGGTATCTTTGGTTAAGAAAAGTGGAAGTTTTAAATTATCCTTTTTTTCTGCAGTGTAATGATGTCAGTAGCAAAATCCATCACAGGGAATTGAGGGGGGGTAGAAAGGAGTCTTGGTCACTGATGTTGCTTTAGTGGCTGACTTAGTTACTAATCCTACCTTGCCAAGGTAGGTAATGAGAGCACCATAGTTACCATGAGTGGTGTGAGCATAGCTTGAGACAAGGGCTTATTCTTCTAGCAATTTTAATTTTAAAACATCTATTATAATAACATATGAAGTTAGCCAGAACACTTAAGATTCCCAGATCTGTACCTTGTCATAGCCACTTAGGTCATGCTGGATGACTGTTAACTGTTTTCAAATACTCTGTTTTCTTTTGACTAGTTTATAAAATACAACTTTATGAAATAGTGTGTAATTTCACTACCAGGTAAATATTTTGATTTGAACTTGAACTGCAAAAAGTTCACTGTTGAATCATTATACGTAGGGGCCTTTATAACACTCAGTTCTTTGTAATTCATTATACCTAATACTTTGCTGTATGAATCTGAAGTAAATGGGCTTTTCTTTGGTCAGTTTTACGCTGTATATTAACAATTAAGTTTATTGAGAAGAGTGTTCATGATGTAAATTATGCACAGTCTCTTCTGTCAGATCTTTCTGGAAATGTGTCAAGGGGCTTTGGAGGACTTCGGTGGGTTTAATCCCAGCCTATTGTCCATGTCCACTTCCTGCCACTCATTTCTGCGTTGTACTGTGTTGTGTTCTTTGTAAATGAAATTTTCCTCTCTATCTCCACTTGACCCCCCTTCTCCAGTCAAATCTTGTTCTTTCTCATGGTGTGTTAATACCAATAGTCCTTGGATTTACCAGCAATTCTTGTCTGTTAGTAATAACAGTCCTTGGCTGGCTCCACAGCCATCCAGTTATCTGTGTTTGAGACATACACATTAGTCCCTTATCTTCTGGGAATTAAGTGCTCAAAGGGATCTCACTGTGGACTGCTGTTTATAGGGTTGTTAGACACTGGGCTTTAATATATGTTAGCCCTTTATAATCAGGAGCTCAAAAAGGTCTCACTTTAGACCACTGTTTATAGGGTAGCAAGAGAGTGGGCTTTAGTTGTAGTAATTTTCCATTCTGGCCAATTTGAGTTGGTAACTTTCTTTGACTGTTTAACAACAAAAATATTATTCCACTTGTTATTTAAAAAAAAATAAAATTCCAAGGCTGTTTGTTAAAAGCAGATGTTCATTAGACACCTGTTAGTTCCTGGGAACAGACAGTGTTCCTGATAAGCTCAAAGGGAGTTTAGTCCAAGTGCAGTTCACCGAGGCCGAGGTTTAATGAGCATTTCTCAGAGAAATTGGTGTCCTGGGTGGCAGAGGCATGCAGCACCACTACCCATACCACGACTAATGTCAGCTCCTCTCAGCCTCTACATTCTCAAGTCATGAAGCTGTTATAAACCTAATTAATAAAAATTTTAAAGTACTTTTTGTTGTGGGATTAAGATCTGTTCATAAGGATAACTAACTTCTCAAACAGGACTTATTTGAAGTATTTTGTGCACTACAACACAGCCTTATAACTGTCTTCTCTGATACTTTGTCAGTTTGTGAAAGGAGAGTAGATAACTTCCAACTCATTATATGACTGAAGCAATGATTGTAGTGGCATCAGTATTTGTTCTCGAACTCTTGTTGAGGTGAAGGTTTAAAATTATTTAACTGATTGGGTTTATTTGGAAGTGTATTGAAATTGGAGAAAAGCAGTATTTGTGTCCTATTTAACAGGAGTTGAAGTTTAAACTGTCACAGGCAAATTTCTATTCAGATTTTGTTTCTAAATAACTTTTATATGTAAGGTTTAGATTTGATCTAAAAACTTGTCTTTAACATAGAAAGCTAACTGTACCAGTTAGCTACTGAGATGAAAGCATTTTCTTAGTCTTGAAAACTATTCTTTAACTGTTTAAAAAACAAGAATTAAAAAATCAAGTGATAAGGCTTCGTTAATTAATTCTGTAGTCTTCTGGCACAGCCTTTTAACAGCTCTGCCTAATTCCTTTTAGTCATGTGGAAGAACTACTGCCCAATGTCTAACAACACAATTTCTAGATTTCATATTTGTTTCTCCTGTTGGTAATTGAATTTTGTTGCCTCACTTTCAGGTGTTTTAAACATCTTAAGATACAAACCCCAGAGCTAGCTTATTTATAAATGCTTCTGTTGTGTGTTTAGATGTTTTGTAAACTTACCTGAAAAGTTAAGTTTTAAATCTGTAAATTATTTCAGAATGAAGTCTCTAGTGTATGACAGGAAAGTGATATGAATTCTTGCTTTTCTACTCATGAATTTTAAGAACAGGGAGTGGTGAGAAAGAGCTGATTCTTTCAAATGTAATTCTGATCCATTACAGGCTTTGTTCTGATATGCGGAAAATGTCTTTGGGTGATTTACACCAATCTTAGATTTGAGCAAAACATTTTTTTAAAAACAGTGGCCAAGAGTCCTGAAAGGTGCTGCTTTCTCTTGCATCATTAGATTAGTGAATAATCTGTAGATAACAGACTGACCATTAATGGATTCACAGCTCCTGACTGCCTTTTGTAACAGTGATAGTTATTAATTTGAAGCAGGAATTGGTGAGGTTTTACATGTCTAACAAATCAGTTAGCTGAAGTTACTGACAGATGTCAAAAGCTCAGTGCAAAACAAGCTAGTTCAAGTTTTTTAGCCTTTTGTTTGCTGCATTTATGGAGGCTTTGCAGCTGCTTTATGTTCTAGTTACCAAACAAGGGTTAGGAGGTAGTAGATCAATGTCATGCTTGGCCACTGTTCCTTGACTGTGGGAAGCGGTGTGTAGGGGCCGGGACAAAAATGCATAATGATGTGGAACAGTTGTTTTTGTGACTTGTCATGCAAAAGTGTCTAAATACTACCTCTTTTCAGCATGCATAATTCAGTGTGTGAACTTGATATCTCAAGTTTTGTACATCTCTAAGATGACTTCAGTTGATCACTGTCTATTTCCTTTGCCATCTACATATCTATGTATAAGTATCTTAAACACAAGGTTGTCGTGTGTTAACAAGTAATGCAAGATTCATGTCAAACTCACTTTAACTCGGTAGTAAACATAAATGTAGTGAATAAGTGTAGTTAAAACATCTTATTAGAGTAAATATTGAAAGCATGTTGTGAGATACATACATACATACATTCATAACTAATCTGGCTTTAGTTGCCTGCCATGCAGAAACTGTTAAACTTGATGCTGATCTGAGGTGTGAAAAGTCAAACATGCATCACTAACTAGCCAGGGACTTTGACAGATCCTGTTTGAGAAGGTGGAGTGACAGA